ATCAGATAGCATATGAGACTTATAATAGAAAGACTCCCCCACCTTGCTATGATCTGCGTACTAAAAGTATCCATCAGTGTATTTTAAAGGTGTCTTTATTTATGACATTTCTTTGTTCTGTTACTATAAAAACATAATGTAACTGTTGCCATGATGGAATGTGGAATTTGGAGTAACCTGAATCTGTGTTCCTGGGCCATAGTCACTCATATTGGGCCCCAGAATAAACTATCTCTTATCCCCTTTGAGGCGAGAGTTAAGCTTTTGCATCAACACCTAGCTTTATTTCACATTTTCTACATACTAAGAAAGACATTTCCCTTTGAGTTAAATGGCTAAATCAATTTGGGATGCTTTACATAGCTTTAGTTTCTACTACATGAGAGAATGGTTTTTTACAGATTATTATTCTACAAGATCAAAGTTCACAGAATGACAGAAAAATTTCTCCTTATGATTTAATGCAACCTTGAAAACAATACAGCAGTTATAGTCTGGAGTTTAGTAAAGTTTAAGATGACCCTGGATCTAGCAGCTCATAGCATCAATTCTCTCTGAACTGATCCCTGTTCTGGTTTTGATGTGCCTAGACATAATTATAAACTAGTTATATATGTCTATTATTTGTCTATAGGTCTATTATTAAGTTAAAATAGATCTATATTTCTATTTCTTCTTAGTAGGCTGGAAACCCTGGAGATACTAACCTAGGATTCCCAAAATCAATACTACAGAAGCAGTTGTCACTTTCAGATGGAAGGTATTCTGAAAGTTAGGAAAATTCCCAAGACACTTTGTAGGCATTTAGCAACAATAGGTGACAATTTCATTAACAGAGTGAATGGATAATGTAAAATATAGCAGTTCAATTAAAATTTTCCTTTGAAATATTTTTCAAATTGATTATTTGCCACAGCATTGATCCAGTCTTATTTATAGTGATGTTTTAATTTATGTAATGACAAGCATCACCTTTATTTAAGGATGTTACCAAAGCTACTGTAAATGGATTTGTCCTTTTTCTGACAAAGTAAACACCAAAGGTACTAGATATATTCTTGTAAACAAAGGAAAAGAACAGAAGTCATCTCCAAATTCCTAAATATAAAAATAATAATGATAATAGTAAATATATTCATAAAATAAAGTACATTTGTGAGAAATTTCTAAAGGAATATAACTATTAATAAATTTTATCAGAAAAATTTTTTATTAAAAATGTGCTTGCTTAGTGAATATTAAAATGTAGGGGTTGTGGAAATTGTGCAGTGGGTAAGAAGAGCACTTGTGTGAACATAGGACCTAATTTCAAACTTTCAAGCACATATAAAATGTCAAGTGTGGCCTCTTGCACCCGTTTTGCACTAGCACTCTGTGGCAGGAAGAAACAGGAGGATTGGTGGGGCTTTCTGACAGCTAGCCTAACTCCAGCTTCAATGAGAGGCCCTGCCATGAGAGAAAAGGGCAGAGAATGATACAGCAGGACACCAGATGTCCCCCTCTACTCTCAGTGTGTGATCACACTGACCTGTGCACTTGCACACACACACACACACACACACACACACATACACACACACAGATAAAACATTTATAATATGTAGTGACTGAATAAGGAAATGACCAACTATATTGACTAGCATTCTACACTATAAATGTGAGGAGCTCCTTTTTATATTTAAACTTTTTAAAATGAAGAATGGTTGAAGAATAAAATGAATATAGATTTCGATCCTCAGTAGACAGTGATTCTCAGAAAAATTCCATGCCTTCATCCCTGATATTGGTAATAGTCTACAAGAGCAAGAGAATTGTTTGGAGAAATAATTAAGATTGCTGGACAAGAAAAATGGCTCAGCATTTAAGATTATATACTGAACTTGTAGTGAACTCAAGTTAGATCTTAGCACTCACGTTGGGTTGCTAATAACTATCTGTAGTTCTATCTCCAGGTGATCTGTCACCCTTGTGTGGACTCCATGAGTACCTGTGTGCACACACACACAATTCAAAATAAAATAAATTTTTGAAAGAGAAAGTCTTCAAATTGCTAATCTGATGACAGTAACATAAAAAGATTGTATTTACCAACAGGAGGAAAACCAATTAGTAGGAGTGAATCCAATATAATCTTAGTGATCAAATTCAGCAAGACCTAATGTTGCCAGTTTCAGAATTTATATGGGTCCATAAGGAACGTGTAGCTTCTAAAAGATAGAAACTGCAAGAAAACAATCACCTTTCTTCCCATCCTCCTGGAAGGAATACAGCTCTGTCTACACTTTATTTTAGTCTGTTTCACATTTTTGAATTTCAGTAGACAAAAAATTTGTGGTATGTCAACTGTTAAGTTTGAGATTATTTTTTATAGTGGTCCTGAGAAAAAAATACAGCATACAACAAGTAATTTGAATAATAAACCCGGGAAGGAGGTCCTGTTTCGATTGTAACAACTTTAAGATAAGGGATAGGCCACTTTTGAAAACTGAAGTCAGCCAAAACTGTGAAAGTGAAAATTCCTGTCATGTGTTGAGATGTAAGACATATCTAGCTTTTGTAGATAAGGCTTTGAAATCCACATCAAATTCGCACTCTCTTTCAGAATAACAATGCCTGTGGTTGCTCAGGACTTATTAACTTCATCTATAACCAACTATTTCCCTTTATGAGGATAGCAGCCTTTCATATTCTTCCCGAAGAATCTCAGAAAGGTTTTGGGGAATAAGAAAAGCACAGCCACTCAAATGCTTCCCTGTCTACCCAGAACTATAGTATGAGTCCAGTGAGATTGAGTCGATCACTATAAAGTTATGTTCTTTCTTCTTTCATTGTATGTAAATAACTATTCACAAATACAGGTTGTTGAAGGCTACTTCTTTATTTCTAACTAGGCTTTCATATATCAGTGCTACTGAGTTTGAGAATTCAGGAGACCTTGAAAACATTCAAAGATATAATTCACCTAAGAATTTTGATTTGTACACAATGGAATAAATCATCCACTAAATGGAAGAACAAACATACTTATACAGAAATATAACTACATTTGTTGAAAATATTATACATATGCCATGCCTGCAAAGAGTTTCAAATAATTATATGAACATTAAAATTTATTTTTCTAACAGTAATATTATACTCTATATTTATTCATACCACAAAACTCTCTAACTTAACTTCTATATCATTGTTTTGTTATATTTGAAGAAATTAAGGCTAACATGAATTATATCAATTTTACTTTGCTGGCAAAATTTCTTATGCTATAATGTTCATATTTGTTTTATTACTGGCTGGCTAGTCTTAGAAATAAGTAAGTCCCCCACAGAGATATTTTCCCTATATTTGCAACTTCTTATTACATTTCAAGTAAAATAGGTTATCAGTGTTTAAAAGAAAGTTTATAAAAATTATTGGTTCACTTTTTAAAGATATTTCATCATTGAAAAATGGAATATTGACAATTGTTGGCCTGGCATGGTGGCAGATGCCTTTGATCCCATCACATGGGAGGCAGAGGCAGGTAGATCTTTTGAGAGATGGAAGCCACCTTGGTGAAAATAATGAGCTTCAGGTCAGCTGGGTCTGTAGGAAGTCCCTGTCTCAAAAAATCAAAAAAGAACAATAACAAAACTAAACAAAACAAGAAATTGTGAATTTTGTCTATGCAGTTATTTTCTCTAAAAATTAAGTAGCTAAATGCAGGATTACACATCATAAAAGCCCTTTCAGCTGAGTTCTTATTTCTTCTTTATAAGCATTACTATATTTTTCCATTTCACATATAAAAATATTTTAAAGAAAGAAGCTAGGCAAGGTGGCACATGCCATTAATCCCTGCAATCAAGAGGCAGACGCAGGTGAATCTCTGTGAGACTGAGGCCAGCCTGATCTACATATCAAATTTCAGGCCATCTGGAACTACAGGAAAACTGTCTCAAAAAGACCAGAAAGAAAAAGACATTTTATTCAGAAATTAAGGCTAGAGAAACATTTCATCTATTAAAATACTCATGCTATCCTCTGATAAGGTTTAGAATGAGTTTAGAAAGCACAGTAAATATTTATTAAACATCATATAGTTGGGGTTGTTTGTTTGTTTGTTTGTTTTTTGAAAAAGAGTCCCACTATGTAGCACTGACTGGCTTGAAATTCACTATGTAATTCAGACTGGCCTTGAAGTCACAGAAGTCTGTCTTCCTATGTCTCCAGAGTGCTGAGATAAAAGGCTTGAGCCACCATTCCCAGCTACACTTCACTTTTTAAGTTTGTTTGTTTGTTTGTTTCTTTCTTTCTTTCTCTCTCTCTCTCTCTTTCTTTCTTATTTTTAGTTTGTGTATGTGTGGGAGTGTGTGTCTGCTTCTGTGTTTGTGTACGTGTGTGTTTATGTGTATACCTGTGGATGCACATATACTATGATGCTTCTGTGGAAGTCAAAGGACAACTTGTGGGATTCAGCTCTCTCTTTCCATGGGCTCTGGGCATCGAAATTATGTCATTAGACTTGGCAGCAAGTGCCTGTACCTTCTGAGTCATCTTGCTGGGCCTATGGTTGTATATGTGGAGCTTTTTAAAAAATTGGTTATTTAAGGCAGAAACCACATATAAAGACAGATAAGGTAATATTTTAGTCAGTTATCATATCTATACTTTCAGGAATTGTAGAGATAATATGAATAATTTTTCCATAATAAATGGAATCTCATAATTTTTAAAGTGGGGATTATATCACATGTTTTAAATGGTAAACAATAAAACAGGGATGTTTTAAAATCTGGTAATGTCATTCCTAAAATTGTTTTATTTTTAGCATGAAACTATTAAGCATTTCAAACAAGCAGAAAATGAAGTCAACTATTGCTTCCTTTTTATTCAGTCACAATTTTCCTTTGAAAAATGAATTTGAGGAATGATTTTCACATCCTAATTTGCAGTGCCTTCAGCAGGCTGTGTGTTGTTTCCATTGCCACTGGTAACTATTTGGTTTTGTGTTTTATCAGGAGCTACAACCATAGAGAAATATGACCTCAGGACAAATCTGTGGATCCAAGCAGGGATGATGAATGGCAGGAGGCTGCAGTTTGGTGTGGCAGTAATTGATGAGAAACTTTTTGTAATTGGAGGTCGAGATGGATTAAAGACATTGAACACAGTTGAATGTTACAATCCCAAAACCAAGACTTGGACTGTTTTACCACCAATGTCAACACATAGGCATGGTCTAGGTAAGACTTACTATGTAGTGATACAAAACTTAGAAATATTTCATTGAAAATACAAATGTATTGAAGCCAATGAATACAAACTTTATAGGATACTATATTTTATGACATCGGCTTTACTTGGTGTGTAATTGCTTAAAAGTTCTTAACTTTTCTTACACTGACAAATGTGCATTTAGATGTTGAGAGAGGCAACGGAAAAGTGAGGAGAGCTGAATCTGTCCTTATCATTTTTGAAACCTGACAATTCATACATTTGGTATGAAAAAGATGAACTATCCCATAGACAGGCAGGGAAGAAATGCTCACTGTGAAATGAATAAAGTGTGAGAACACTCCACCCACAGTAATGGCAGGTAAACACACCTGTTTTATTGCTTAGTTGATTCACCTTGAAAGCTAGAGGGAAGAGTGAAATAATGGCTGGTGCCCTGAGCAAATGAGACAGGGTTGTTGGGTTTTTTTTTCTTTTTTTTCTGCTTTCTGGCAGGGAACATAGTGATTTTTGCTGTTGTCATTTGTTTTGTTTTGATTCTTTGTTAATTTATTTTTGTTTTATGTATATAAGCCTTATGCCACCATGTAAGTGCACTCATGTCATGGAAAGTTCAAACAGGATGTAAGAGGACCTCTTATTCCCTGTAACTGGAGTTATTGATGGTTGTTAGCCACTATGTGGGTGCGTGGATTTAAACCCAGATCCTCTGCAAAAGCAATCAGTGCTGAGTCATTTCTCCATCCCTGGGACATATTGTTGAATAGGAACACATATTTAGAATTAGAATATCTGTGTGTTAATCTTGAATTTGTTCTTTATATTTGCAAGCTTTAGAGGAAATAGTAATTCTGAATCTCTGTTTTCTGATTTGTCACCAACTCAAAGTTATTAAACAGGAGAAACTCAAAATTGCAGCAATCCTGAAATCACGTTCTTAATGGTAAAGCTCCATAAAATTTTAAATGTGGACTTTAATAAAGGTAACAGCTCTGAATTTATACTCCATGTAGTAAAGATTATAACAAATACAAATCAATTTATTCAAAGATTTGAATATCCCAGATAAATGAAT